GAAAAATCAGAGAAAATTATCATGTGTGAATCAGAAAAAAATCACTGAGGAAGCGCTACAAAAATATTTCCCTCAAAATAAATCACAAATAAGGAGATGAGCACTCGGGATTAACATAAAAAGGCTTTTTTATAAGGTGGCAGATTCAATGATTTGCTCAAGCGATAGAAGCAGATCTGAGACGCAGGTGTAAGAAACTTGCTTTGGTCGGATGTGAGTTTGTTCACCAGAACTCGCCCTTATATGGGTCAAACTCTATGAGAGAAACAAAGCACAAACGGTTTCTCTATCGAAAAACCAAGACAACATTCAGCTTCTCTAAAAACAAGATACCCTAGTTTTCGAGAACGATCAAACCTTTCGGGGCTACATTAACGATAGATCAGTCTTACAAACATACCTTGGCGTAACTGCTGAAATTGTTGATTGCTATTTTGTTTGTGGCGATTATTTTGACGATTATTATTTTGATTTGAATTAACACGCAGTTCTAATATAAAGAAAAAGACGAACATACAGTGAAATGTAGAATAAACGAAGAGACTACCATCAGCTTCTTGCTGCTCTCCTGCTTCGACTTCTTCCTGTTCCTCGTTTTCATTAACGTTATCATTCGTTAGCAGTTGCTGAGGTTGCAAGACTTCATCATTTTCGTTGGCCGTCTGATGGTCATTTTCATTCGAATATGACTCTCGATGTGTTAAATCTAAGAAGCAATTAGGAAAAAATAAGATTACCAGCATAAACTTAGTTTGTTTCCATTTACCAGGTTGTTCATCATATTCATCGTGATCACTTTCACCCATATTAACATGAATATTTTGATTTCTTTGACGAAATGGTATACGTGTACTGTCAGAAAAATTACCACGATCACGGGCCCGTCCACGGCCACCGCCTTGTTGAAATGGAGCTAAAAATAGAGCAAAAAAGGATAATAATTATCTATTAGAACAGAAAGAATGTATTCGGAGTAGTTCGTATACTTCTGAGGGAGAGAACGACATCAATATAAATTTTTTCAGAAAAACGGTGCCCATTCAAAGATTGTATGACGTACTTGAAATAGTGCGCGTTGTTGAGCCATTCATATCTTGGTATCTAATTGTAGTGGACGAAGAAGGCAGATCGGGCCGAACGAATGACGCAACTTGTTCTAAAACATAATAATAGGAGGGCAAAGAACAACTTAAATTACATATTATTGAGAACTATATTTTGCTACGTACTGGGTTGTGGATTAATTTTCGGTCGTTTACCGATTCGTATATTTCCTGTAAAAGAATCAGCATAAAATAACTGAGTTAGAATAAGTAAGATGTGGTTAAAAATATAACGTACCATTTGTCTGTTTACGTTTATGATGAACAGGTGTCGGAGGTGTTGATTGAAATCTTGATGGAATATTATTTTGAGTGGTACGACGTGGACGATATGTTTGAGTATTAATGGTGTCGAAATACATGTTGAGGTTATATCTAAAACGCAACCAAGAATACATGAAGCATCATGAAGGAACAGACATCGAAAAAAAACAAGCTGTTCATGTAGTAGTCGCACGTTTTTAATACTCTAACTGTACGTCGGCTGTACAAAAAAACATTATAAAAACATCTTTTACAGAGGCATATGTGCAGATATAGTGAGATAATTTTATGGCTAAAGGAAGAATATAACTTTAACATTTTCTATGTACACAGAAACAAGAAATCAGTCATGTTCGTTGTAGGAAGACACAGGCGTAACCACAATGGTTGAATTGTCTATTCTATTTTTAAACACAATAACATGTTTGACGATTTGTTCAACTGGTACGAAACAACAGACATCAGTTCGTCTTAGCACAAAATAAAAACTATCAAGTGGCTGCTGGACGATTCGATAATAAGGATCATGTTTAATGTAGTCGCTATATAAATTATTAATGACATATCTTTGGATTAATGCCAGAAGCTGTTGTTGTTGTTGTAGAAAGATTATAATTTCTCCAAATGAATAGGTGGAACTGTTTGGTTGTCGATATTGAACAAAATAACTGTTACTAGTCTGACGCTTTGAGTAATTTAGTGAATGAAATACTTGATTTTTAATCAAATATCGACGGTAAAATTTGACACATCGATTAAAATCATTACAGGTGCACATTTTTTGGTGATAATTAAATGAATCATTGAAATGAGGATGATTCTGAGCCAGTATCATTGGATCAATTAGACCTAGAAGTATAAAGATACGACTGTGAAAGAGAGACATTTTTTATAAGTCATATTATACGCAGAAAAGGGAATTTCCGTATTATTTTTTAGCATAATAGAGGAGAAATTGCGATGAATGTCCTTTCACTAAAGAAAAGGGGAAAAACTTTCTTCTTGAGTTATCTTGAGAA